AGACCTCAGGGGAAGGAGTCAGGGTCCAAAGACGTAACAGGGTACCGGCAACAGGATTCAGGTATGGCGACAATACTGTGGCACCACCCTCACTGTGAGAAGGGGCTAAATACCCTCCCAGGCCACCATCAGGTGGAGACTAATTGCAGACAGCCGGGAGGCCCCCGCAGATGAGCACCGGAATTGCAGGTTCCAACACTACCCAGTGGTGGTCTGGTACCTGACGGCCTCTGGCTGACTGGAGACACCTGCAGGTGAGCACCGGAATTGCAGGACCTGGTTCCAGCGTCACCTGGAGGTGCTCTGGTCCCTGAAATAGACACTGGTACAGTTTTTTTTTCTATGGTGAGGATGGAATTAACGTACAGCAGACCGCATGAGATCAAGCAAAGCTTAAAAGGGAGACAACGTTTATATTTTTAAAGAGATATTTATGTGATTTAGACAATTATTAAAAACTCATCTTTTCAGGGAAGCCCATCCCGCCTCCATCTAACAACTAAAATGTAACCTTCTCCATCAACACAGCTATCACCTCTTGTATCACTTGCTCCTCCCATTTAGATTGTAACCTCTCATGAGCAGGGCCCTCCTAACCCTCTTGTATTTAATTGTAATGGTAATATAACTGCATGGTCTCCCTTTATATTGTAAAGAGCTGTGCAAACTGCTGGCGCTATATAAATCTTGTATAGGAATAAAGGCCGTGACACACTGCACGCGAAGCCGTGCAGAGCGAAGCAAAGCTATCCAGCACGGAGCTTCGCGTGCAGTGTGTGAGCTGAGTGCAGTCAGATGATTGACTGCACCTTCAGCCAATCGGCTCGTCTGTAACAACCGGCCAGAAGTCGCATCCCGTCGCGCCAGTTTATACGCGCGAGCCGATTGGCTGAAGTTGAAATTGTTCATCTCGGCACGCTCAGCTCTGCGAGCTCTCGCAAGCTGAGGTGCTGAGAAGAAAGTGACATGACACACTGCTCGCAAAGGCAGCGCGCCACCGCTCCGCGTGCAGTGCGTTACGGCCTTAAGGTTGCAAAGCCCTGCTCCTTCTAGATGATGGCCACCTATACACAGAGATGGAACAAGGCATGGTAAGTCAACAATGGGTCAAAGGTCAGCAGGCAACACTGCTGATTAATATTATTTTGTCCGCTGCTTACCATTTTTTGGGCACAGCTTTCAACGCACAGGTCCTCTTTAGGAGGTACTAGATCAGTATGAGAGCCAGGAAACATGTCAGAAGGAGCTCTTGATGTACTACCTATATGACAGGTTCCCTTTAACTCCACTACTACAGAAGGTTAATGATACTTTAAAAGTCAAATAAAAAGGTCTGCGGTGTTAATTAAAACACATTATTTTAATAGGAAGGTGATTAGAGGAGACTGCACAGGGATCGTAGATCACTAAAAGAGGTTTTAATTAGATGGCGGTTGTACATGAGCATCACATTAGAAGGTTGTCCAGGACCTTAACGCTTGACCCGTCAAGTAATTGGGAGATTGGGGAATCCCCACCAAAACAAATGCTGATGGCAACAGACCGGGTGCATCTAGAGAAGCACCACATGCAAGTATATAACCAATAGTCCATTGTGATGTCATCGGCTCCTTCCTCAAGGTTTATAATGCCCGGGCCCTGGGAAGGGGCAAGTTGAGGGTCGAGGCAGGTGGTGCAGGAAACTAAGTTTCCAATGAGACCATTGGAATTCACTGACATGTTGGACGGGTGGTGTTTACTGATTACTTGTAAACATCCATAGCTAGTCACACTCCACTGCCAGCACACGTCTTATGTGTTATATGTTTTAAAGGCTAATTCCACCTTTGGAGCCATGTTTCATGTTACATTCATATGTAGGGTGCATCATGAAACATGGTCACAGTCCGCAGCCCCCCACCCTTTCCCACCTTTAAACCGCCCCTTCCCCTAATTTGGTGTGGCTGTGCATGCCAAATCATTCACTCACAGGACATGTCAATAAAAAGACCACCACGGCAGAGAGACTTGTGGATCTGAATATACACACACTAGATAATACATACATACATACATACATACATACATACATACATACATACATACACTTTGCAGGCTCCAGTCAAAGTAAATTATAAATACACTTTTTTTAATTAAATGTGGGTGCATTTATTTTTGGAAAAGGTGGAATTAGCCTTTAAATTAAAGACAACAATGATTACTTATGGCTGTGGGCGGGTAGCAATCGGGTGCTGGAAGATCGTCCTGGACCACAGAAGGAGCAGCGAGATACGCATGTTGCCAATTTCCTTCAGCATGCTACAGATAGGAGGTAACGCAATCAGGATCAATTTCTCCTCTTGGAGTGCAACGTGTCTGCTGCTGCACAAATCGGAAGAAAGTGGGGGCATGAAGAACCTGTTTGGGGGGGGAACAGGAAGGGAGAAAAAAAAAAAAAAGGGACAGGAAATAGAAAGGGAGAGCACCTGGGTACAAGGTGAGGACGTTCCTTGCAAATAAGTTTGGATTCCCTTTGGCTGGAGTTCAGCTTTAAAAAAGGAGAACTATGAGGTGGGTGCTTTTCACTCCTCCTCATAGTTCTAGCCGACCTGTGACAATGAGACTGTCACAGGTCGGCTCAGTAGATCTGGAAGTGAGCGAACACATACCGGCGTTCGCTCACCTCTAGATCCTGTCACGGCTCTCTGCCGTGACAGGGGGAGGGACTGGGTTCCCCGCTCCGATCCTCCAGCGCTGACTGGCGGAACGGATGGGGGAGGGGGCGGGTACAGCTGGCTCTGCCTCTAGATAGGCAGAGCCAGCTGTCACGCACTTCAGCTGCGGCGTCTCAGTATACCACGAGCTGTAGCTCGGGGTATACTGAGCCTAGGGTAACGGGAGGACGCTAGTTTGTGTCCTCCCGTTACCCTAAGCAGAACTATGGGGAAAAGCCTTAACCCCATAGTTCTCCTTTAATCAGTGGAATATTACATATTAAATATCCTATTATTTGAAACATACTCCTGACACATTACTCAAATTATAAATATATCTGTCTGTTTCTTTTTATTTACATTTTGTATTTCAAAAAGGTACAATAAAATGTTTTATTCCAATAAGTGTTCTTTTTAAACTTACTATATTGATACGGAATTGCAAAATAATCAGCTTCACAATTTATTATTTCACCTTTAGTTGTATCCACCTTTTCCTTCAACATGCTCTTAGTTGGGGGATCTACTACCGAACATGCTGTAGGCCGCTGTTAACGTTCAAAGCTATCCAACTGTTTCTAAGTTTGGGTGAAAGAAAGGAGGGGGACTGATCTGCTGTCAGATTTTTATTGCTTCCCATGACCTCAGAGGAGTCAATCTTTCCCCATCCAATTTGGACACCCAAATCGTCGGTCATCAATAGGATTGTCCATATGAATACAACATTTTACAGCACTGTTGTAATTGCAGGGCCAGCAGTGGAAAGCAAAATTTCCCCACTTGTATCTAGGAGAGCAATGAAGACCATGAGAGAGAGCAAAAAATGACCACGTTAGGCATCTGCAGCCTTGTTGCTCAACCAGATCTGCTCCAAGTGTCAGTCTCACCTGTATGGGTCAGATCTGACCCAACTAAAATACCTGGCTCTCTAGGACCGGTGTAGGCAACCTCGGCACTCCAGCTGTGGCGAAGCTACAAATCCCATTATGCTTCTGCCAGTCATGGATGTAGAGGTCAGCCTAGCAATGCCTCATGGGATTTATAGTTTTACAACATCTGGAGTGCCGAGGTTGCCTACACCCAGTATAGGAGCTCCATCATGGGTATCCCAGCAATCCCTAAGAGCAAGGATACAAATCAAGTTCCTTTAAATAGAAGGAGACCACAAGAGGGCACAACTACAAATCTAATCAAAAATATGGAACTGCAAGTATGCAGAAAAAAAAACAAAACCTGAGCCTTCCTCCAAATGGTTAAAATAATAACCAATATAAACTCAAAGACTACTCACAGTAAGATACTGTCGTGTCCCTTCATTCTCACAGCAAAAGCAGAGTTACCCTTTACATACAATGTTACTCTGCCCATTGAGTGACAGGGTGTGCCAAATGCCGCCCTTCCCACCCCCACCTATCCTCAACTTTACTGTGCTCCCCTGCTGCCGTTGGAGATGGGGGTGCATGAGACTTCCTCCCCTCCCAGGATGGAGTGCTCAGGCTCCAGCAGTCAATAGCCAGGCCTGAACACTGTCACATGAGGGAGGAGATGACGTCATCAACGCTCTGACGCCAAACAACATGGAGCTTACACAAGGCCTGCCTCCCAGGGCTGATAGAGGAACAATGCAGTGGGAGAGCGAGACCTAAGTGGGGTATGCGTGCTAATATTTTCTTTGTTCAACCTGCAGACTGAGCGAAGAAAATATAACAGATTCCGCCATCCATGAACAGCGTAGACAGATGCATCCTCCGCTTTCTCTACTGGATACCGACAGCGGTCGCCAGTTGCTGTCAGAATACATAAACAGTGATGGCAGATAACTGGCTGCAAGCACCGTTCAGCGGAAGTTTATCCAACATGTTACAGCAACAAAAGTCGATCCACTGCTGAAGGAACAGGGTCACCAATGGAGCCAAAATTCACTGTGTGCACCCAGTATAAGACGGTTGGGGGCTGGGCTGTTCTGAATGGACAATGTGACAGGGTCTCTTTAAATACACACCGTACATTTGAAAAAAATCTGATGCAAAAAAAGGTTCTTGTCTGAATAATTTCCATCCGGGGTTAATTTTCAAATCGCCCTCATTAAACCTCCCCGCTGTCATTAAGTGCGCTCCCAGCCCAGCCGCTGCCTCCTCGTTGCTCTCATTAAGCGCACGCAGCCCTTTAAATTACCCCTCTTTGCGATCTCATTAGGAGGCTGAAAATTCGTACATTCCAAACATTTTAGGACATCGTAAAGCATGGCGGCGGTTTAATGGCACAGGATATTATGTGTCAGCTCTGCGATATAAAAAATGTTTTACTTTTTTTGGGGAGGGGGGGGAGGGGAGCGTTATTAGTTAGAAGACAGTTTCATCATCACTCAATCCCAGCATCACTTGAAGCTGTTCTAGCCGCCGCAATATACCACATTACCTTCCCGCGACTTGCTGCTTTCCATCCAAGCCTTCCACGTTTCTCCATAAAACAAATGAAATAAAGTCCGGAACATATCAGAATGTGATCTCGGCTCCATAACCTGGTTACAGGTCTACGCTTCCTTTCACTTTAAATTTTTTGGCCGACCTCTCGCTGGCTCTCATCTGCAGCTTGCTCCCGTAGATGTACGTGATAAATCCGTCAATTTCTTTGACAGTGTGTGTAAATTACAGGGAAGGAGACCGGAGTTAAACTGTCTTTGGAGGAATTGACTCGATCATTCTGTGTAACATCTCGGTTACGATTGTGCTCAGGGTGACATTATGACGGTCTCGTGCTTCAGCGGCTTGCAATGCTGAATTATTTGACATGCGGATGTCAGTGATGGGGGTTTGCTAAACAACTTTTGGGAATACAACTGGATCTAATGACCCAATGCAAAGAATTAAGAGATCAGTCCCAGGGGCGTAACTACTAACCATGGGGGCCCCATAAAAAAAACTTTGGGGCTCCCCAGCTAACTATCTCCATAGAGGCCGGCAGATCCTCAGTTCTGACTCCAGCCATTCTATACTGAAAACCTCACAGTTTAGTTTTCCTAATCAGCTCTGTTAATGGTGCCCCCTTCGGCCCCCAAGCCCCATACCCAATGCAAAGAATAAAAGAGATCAATCCCAGGGGTGTAACTACTAATCATCAGGCCCCATACAAAACTTTGGGGCTCCCCGGCTAACTATCTTCATAGAGGCTGGCAGATCCTGAGTTCTGACTTCAGCCCTTCTATACCGGAAACCTCAGTTTAATTTTCCTAACCAGCTCCGTTAATGGGGCCCCTTCTACCCCCAAGCCCCATACCCAATGCAAAGAATAAGGAGATCAGTCCCAGGGGCGTAACTACTAATCAAGGGTCCCCGTAAAAAACAAACTTTTGGGCCCCCTTCTATCCCTAAGCCCCATAGCAGCCACATGGGCTGCTATGGCTATTGTTATGCCACTGGTCAGTCCAAATAAAAAAAAACAGATGTTGAAGTTTTTGGTAGGTGTTAAAGACAATTTAAAGGTTTGGTCCACATGTTGCAAATGCAACAATACTGGTCAATGTGCATGTACTGCTTTTTTTGCACTGCAGCCTGCAGAGCATTGCAACTGCGATCAGTGCACGGTGGGTGTAATACTCAGGCTCTATTCATATTTCCCCCCAGTCCCAGGTCTGTACAGAGGTACAGGCCTACTGTTATAGGACTGGAGGAGGCTGTGGCAAGAATACAGAGCGGAGAAGGAGGAGGGGTCCCCAGCATGCTCTGCATAGACCCTCTGCAAGGGTGACAGATTGGATTTGTGTTATTTTTCATTGAGAGATCCCCTATCTGGACGACAGAGCCGTGCTAAAATCAAACAGGATGCTGCTAGAGAATGCACCTGGCAATTCAGGTAAGGGGGTGAGTTTTGGGGATGCTGTATGTGACCATGCTTCACGTTACTCCCTAAATATAGGTGCAACATGGTCAAAAAGGTGAACAGTGCCATTTCTCTTTTGGGTTCAATGACAGAAGAGGACACAAGGAAAATCTACTTCACACTATAGCAGGCTAATAAAAACCCAGCAGTGCTTCTAACCCATCCTGGTTCAGAAGGGGCAGTGTTGGGCTTTCATTACATACGGGGGAAAACAAAGCCCTATACCCCCCAAAATGAATGTGCATATAGAATATAAAGGTCAAAAGTCTGTGTACATCTGACTGACACACCTATACAAAGCTTTATTAATATCTCAATGTAAAATCATGGCCACTAATATGGAGTTAGCCCCCTTGGCAGCTATTACAGCCTCCACTCTTCTGGGAAGGCTTTCAAGAAAATGTTGGAGTGTGTCTGTGGCAATTTGGGACTACTGAACTAAAAGAGCACTTGTGAGGTCAGGTACTGATGTTGGATGAGAAGACCTGGCTCACAATCAGCGTTCCAATTCATCCCAAGGGTGTCCAGCAGAATTGAGGTCAGGTCTAAGTGCAGGACACTCAAGTTCCTCCACATCAGACTCATCAAACCTTTGTTTATGGAGTTGGCTGTGTGCACAGGCGACAGTCATGCCGGAACCGAAAAGGGCCTTCGCCAAACTCTTACCTGGAAGTGCACAAGGGTCTAAAATGTCTTTGTATGGTGTAGTACTCACAGTACCCGTCACTAGAAACATCTCAACTCAATCATTTGGTGGGGTGACCACATATGTTTGGCCATATAGATCGGTGTGATGGTCAGGTGTCCACAATCTTCTGTCCATACAGTGTTTGTGTAACAATAATAAGTGATGGGAGAAGGCCCGGCTGTGTGCTCAGCTGACAGGAAGCAGCTCCTCTCCCAACCAGCCGCAGCTGATTACAATCAAAAATGAAGAAACACAATCCTCACCTTTTAGTTCATCTTCTTTTGTGATTATTTTGAACACATATTTTGTCTCCTGTAAAATGATGCCTGTGAGGCCGACATAGGACGGACACTTTGATTTGGATACTGAAAGAAAAAAAAAAAAAGACCAAAAGTCTGAGTTGGTGCTGCAGAGAACCTCTACACAATGTCATATAATCAAATAACTTTGCACCCTCCATAAGGCATGGTTCACTTAGAACTGATATTTCAATGTTTGGTGGTTGCCTGAGCTTTAAACCCCGACTCTATTGGTGACATCCCGGTGCTAAGTTACTGGGTCTGTACACCTGCTGTACCCATTATGAGGGGCTCCTACCATCCCTGTGCTGAGTTCCCGGGTCTGTACACCTGTTGTGTCCATTATGAGGGGCTCCCACCATCCCTGTGCTGAGTTCCCGGGTCTGTTCACCTGCTGTGCCCATTATGAGGGGCTCCCACCATCCCTGTGCTGAGTTCCCGGGTCTGTACACCTGCTGTGCCCATTATGAGGGGCTCCCACCATCCCTGTGCTGAGTTCCCGGGTATGTACACCTGCTGTGTCCATTCTGAGGAGCTCCCACCATCCCTGTGCTGAGTTCCCGGGTCTGTACACCTGCTGTGTCCATTATGAGGAGCTCCCACCATCCCTGTGCTGAGTTCCCGGGTCTGTACACCCGCTGTGCCCATTATGAGGGGCTCCCACCATCCCTGTGCTGAGTTCCCGGGTCTGTTCACCTGCTGTGCCCATTATGAGGGGCTCCCACCATCCCTGTGCTGAGTTCCCAGGTCTGTACACCTGCTGTGCCTATTATGAGGAGCTCCCATGATCCCAGTTTTGAGTTCCTGTTTGTACACCTGCTGTGCCCATTATGAGGAGCTCCCACCATCCCTGTGCTGAGTTCCCGGGTCTGTACACCTGCTGTGCCCATTATGAAGAGCTCCCACCATCCCTGTGCTGAGTTCCTGGGTCTGTACACTAGCTGTGCTTATTATGAGGGTTCAAGGTTCTGTTATGACTTGCTAACAAATCCGCCTCGGCTCTTATAACCAGAAGAACGGCTAACACAGAAATTAAATGATCTCATAAATCTAAATGTTTGGCATCTGTGATCACTGACAAGGCCAACACGCACCCATAACCAGCGCCCCATGCAGATCCGCCTTCAAAAGCTTGTTCTGGATCATCTGTGGTTGCCTGCACATGGAAGATTCATATACAGTAAGATAGGATTAGAATAAGGACACAAGGTAAAACACAGAAGACACAGAGAGGGGAAGTTGTCAAATTCCAGCAGTCACATTACTAGGACTGAGTAGATTAGAGACCATACTAGAATGCTTCTACAAAAGGAGTCGAACAGTCAAGAACAATTAGACTAAGAGCACATACAATATGAGCACCTAAAGGGGAACTGAACTGAAAGCTGTAACCACCCCCCCTCCCCCCCCCAACAAAAAAGAAAGCACAGTGTAAAGGACTGGTTACTAGTATTGCCTCTGGTCTCCCTGCAACTGATCTGGACCCCATTACTGATTTACCATACCTTGTTCTGTCTATTGAGGTGGCCATTTTGGTAGAGGCAGGGCTTTGCTACCTTGTGTCAGAGCCTCCAGCAAGGAGAACAGTCAGCAGCAGCACAGTAATGACATCGCAAAATCTCCTAACACCAGCAATCAGAGGCAGCAGTGCCTTAGATCTCATGCTGTAGACATAGCTGTAAGGCTGTGGTCACAGGAGTGCCTTAGATCTCATGCCTCAGACATAGCTATAAGGCTGTGGTCACAGGAGTGCCTTAGATCTCATGTCGCAGACATAGCTATAAGGCTGTGGTCACAGGAGTGCCTTAGATCTCATGCCTCAGACATAGCTATAAGGCTGTGGTCACAGGAGTGCCTTAGATCTCATGCCTCAGACATAGCTATAAGGCTGTGGTCACAGGAGTGCCTTAGATCTCATGTCGCAGACATAGCTATAAGGCTGTGGTCACAGGAGTGCCTTAGATCTCATGTCGCAGACATAGCTATAAGGCTGTGGTCACAGGAGTGCCTTAGATCTCATGTCGCAGACATAGCTATAAGGCTGTGGTCACAGGAGTGCCTTAGATCTCATGTCGCAGACATAGCTATAAGGCTGTGGTCACAGGAGTGCCTTAGATCTCATGTCGCAGACATAGCTATAAGGCTGTGGTCACAGGAGTGCCTTAGATCTCATGCCTCAGACATAGCTATAAGGCTGTGGTCACAGGAGTGCCTTAGATCTCATGCCTCAGACATAGCTATAAGGCTGTGGTCACAGGAGTGCCTTAGATCTCATGTCGCAGACATAGCCATAAGACTGTAGTCCCAGGAGTGCCTAGACACCCTCACATACATCTGGAATACCAGATAAGAGATTTTTCAGGGTACTGCTTAGGCACAATTAACATTTTTAGAAGTTCTCTATTAAAACAACAACTTTTTAGGTTCAGTTCCTCTGTAAACAGAAAATTTGTTGCTAAACCTATTAACAAATTCTAAAACTAAACACCAGCAAACAGCTGAACACACAAATACATCTAGATTTGCTTAGGCAAGTCTCATGACTTGCACACCCCTCCCACAATGCATAGCAAGAAGGTGGATATAACTAATGAATATTATAGTTTTGAAGCTTTCTGTGTCACCTGAACGCTTCAATTCAATGCTGGGCTCCTCCCAGTGCTATTTTTCCTGTAAGCTGCCATAGCTCAAAATCCACCCCCTCCCCCAGGGCTCGAAAACGTAGACGGTCACACAGTGAATATCCTTCTACACCGGGTCCGATATCTGCTGGAGGAAACCGTAAAGATACTCACGCGTCTGGTCTCAACCCATTACACAAATCTCGGATATACTGTTTCCAAAGATCATGAAGAGGAAGAAACATGTCGTATCTGAAAATAAAGACAAACACCAGACATATTAACAGTCATACAACCGGATCCGCACCACACCTAACACTTTTACCGCTCTGACCTTTGTAAACTAAATTCTAATGGTTGCTCAGATATCACCATTCCTCTTCTGAATATCACAAAATGCCTAGACCACGTCCAAGCTAGGCTTCTGGTCCCCCCCCCCAGTGAAGCCTTTATTCTCCCGAATCATTTTAGAGTGCATGTCCATCCAGAACTTTCAGGTTTTAGATAGTTGTTCTAATCCTTTCCGACATTGAGTGCGATCTCACATTTAACCAAAGTTCAATAGAAGTGACATTTTGAGTGACATTTGAGGACCGATCAGCTGTTCCAGGCAGACAAGGTAATGCAGATCGGCTCTCCTGCACATGCGCAGTGAGCCGATCTGCCCTGGAACAGCTGACAAAGCATTGAAATGCTTGACCTAATGGGCGGTCACACATTCCACCGCTGTCGAAACTGGGCGGGATTATGTTGGAATGTGTGACCACGTCATAGGTCACACATGCCAACGTAGTCACAACATTTGATAGAACACAGAACAAAAAGGGTTAAGTGTACCTGTACCTAGAAATCTGGACTAATAAAACATGACCTCCCTCTAGCACTCCGGCACAGAGAAGACATGGTCAGTCTCACCTCTGCTGATCTGGTTTGATCTCGAACAGCCTCATTTCTCTGCGCTCTTTGGCCGTCAGTCCTTTGGACTTGTTGCGTTTCCGCTTCTTCTTCTTGTAGACGTGCTCCAGGACCACGGCTTTCCTCTGCAGGAACTCCTCCGCGGTCGTCTTTCTCAGGTTTGGCATAGACCGCTTTACAAAGGCATTGACGAAGGCTTTTGCTTTCTGCGATGATGGAACCTGAAAATGAGGCCAAAAAAAAAAAAAAGGGAATAAGTCTAGAAACCAATAAAACTAAAACCAAAAAAACCCACAACTGTAATGTGTAATAATATTTGATGAAATGATTGTCAGACTGTCCCTTTCATAGAATAAAGTATATGCAAGTCTGCAGTCACACGGGCAATTCTAAGATTCCTATAGATTCTTATGGCAGGGATCCCAGATGCAGCCGCTGTGCCCATTGAAGTTAAAGGAGAACTATGGGGTTAAGTCTTTTCCCCATAGTTCTCCTTAGGGTAACTGGAGGACACAAACTAGCGTCCTCCCATTACCCTAAGCTCAGTATACCGCGAGCTACAGCTCCCTATATACTGAGACGCTGCAGATGAAGCGCATCCTGACAATTGTGCCGGCATCCGCCCAGCTGCGTGAGTGACAGCTGGCTCTGCCTATCTAGAGGCAGAGCCAGCTGTACCCGCCCCCTCACCTGTCCGTTCCGCCAGTCAGCGCTGGCGGATCGGGGAGGGGGGAATCCATCCCCTCCCCTGTCACGGCAGAGAGCAGTGACAGGATCAAGAGGTGAGCGAACGCCAGTGTGTGTTCGCTCACCTCCGGATCTACTGAGCCGACCTGTTCCAATGACTTCGGCCTTGAGCTCTTTTTTATAAAAGGTTAGAAGCTTTGCTGTCTGATGTTGGGGAGATTTGCCCTCACCTCCTGCCCCTGGTATTAGGTGTCATTGGATCAGGAAATGAGGTGTAATTTCCCTGATGAGTAACTCCTCACCGCTCAATCCCAAACAAAAAATACATATTAAAAAGTTTTGGCTTTTACCGTGCGTGTTAGCCCTCGTTCACACCTGACCGTTTTGTAGCGCGTTCAACGCTCGACGAACGCTCTACAAAACGCTCAAAAATATAAATCCCATTGTAGTCAATGGTCTCGTTCCCACCTAGGCGTATTTCCGCCTGTCCCTAACGTGCTACAAAACGGCCCACGCCTGAAAAGGTACATGTACTACTTTGGGCCGTTTTGTTGCGCGTTTCCATTGGGATACAGCCAAGTAGCCTTCGTAAACGCGCGACGGTCGCTCAACTTTTTTACCGCGAATCGCGGTAAAAAGCGCGCGACAGACGCACATATGCAATACGCCAATACGTGTGAACGAGACCTAAACCCCAACAAGCTTTTATTATTTGCTACCTTTGGGTCTGTTAAATATACCATTAGAAGCATTTTGTTATATCTCTTCAACAAAAAAAAAAAACTTGTTCATCCTGTTACAAATTCAGAGCTGTCCTGTTTGCATACACCCTGTGATAGCTCAAGGAGTAGTTACCCCTCCAAGTTCTTGTACTCGACTACTGAATGATCAGTGTCTGTGTTGTAAAGATGAGGACAGGGTTTGAGTAGTTTAGCAAAACACAACCGGGCAGGGCTGCCACCACTCAGTGCACAAAAACGCTTTGCATTGTCAGCTCACAACTAATACTTAGTAGCAGAGTGTATTTCTGAGAGATCAACAGGTACTTTTCTGCACATGTGGGGTCTTTATGGGGATAGAACATGGTGAAATGTACAAGTACTGCATTCTGTAACCCCACAGAAAAGTGTAAGTAAACTACATTTAAAAAAAATGGGTAATAAATTTACAAACCACTCACCTCCAAGCCCAGTTCTGTTGCCTCCTGGGAGGGTAATGTTTTATAGATTTCTAGAAGAGAAAAAATGAACAGACTGAAATAATTTTCAAATTAAATATTTGCAGTAACAGGCTAACAGGCATTATAAGGAGCTCCCACCATCCCGGTTCTGAGTTCACACCTGCTGTGCCCATTATGAGGGGCTCCCACCATCCCTGTGCTGAGTTCCCGTGTCTGTACACCTGCTGTGCCCATTATGAGGGGCTCCCACCATCCCTGTGCTGAGTTCCCGGGTCTGCACACCCGCTGTGCCCATTATGAGGAGCTCCCACCATCCCTGTGCTGAGTTCCCGGGTCTGTTCACCTGCTCTGCCCATTACGAGGAGCTCAAGAAAATGTCAGCAGCACACCAATAATTATTCAGCAAAAGTCCATTTAATGACACATTGCCATTCAGTAACAGTAACTTAAAAGAACCCCTTCATCAGGCTCAGAAGCCTGAGGAAGGGGTTCCCTTGAGGCCCTTGAAAGCGCTTGTTACTGAATGGCAATGTGTCATTAAATGGACTTTTGCTGAATAATTATTGGTGTGCTGCTGACATTCTCTTGTGTTGTGCACAGTGCCGTCCGTGGTCACTACAAGCACCCACCTGCTTTTGCAGGTTTACTGTCGTTCTGGTAAGGAGTGCAGCTGGTTTTCTACTTCCATTATGAGGAGCTCTCCCCATCCTTGTGCCTTGAGTCTGAACTTACTGCCAGGAGACCTCACTGTTGCAACATCCAAGACATACAACAAGCCGGGGTCTGACTCAGCTCAGGAAGCTTCATCTATAACATAAATATAATTTTTGGGTGGACTTGTCCTTTAATTCCTTTTCTATGACATGCGACACATAGGAACCACTCCAATCCGTGACAGTGAAGGGCAAAGACAAGGACAGTTTTAGAAGGTGCTGGGTTTTGATTAGCATGTTAGCTGATCCGCCGCTGAAAAGAATAATTAACAGTTGTGAATCCCTCCGGTCCTCTTTTTTTTTTCCTTTAAAGCGGAGCGCCTCCATGTTTTCTGTACACAAGATTCTGCAACCGTCCATGACACAGACTGAAGATTTAATGAAATTATGGGGTTTATGTATCAATCTACGGCGCGCTACAAAGCCGCATATGCCCAGATTCCGGGGGGAGGATTTACGGCCCCACAAAACCAGTTTATTGCGGTTTATTTTTACTGGGACTCTGGAAATTTATCAGCAACATTACAATTTGCTTTTATCGCTCGCGTTAATAAAACAAGACGTTTTTTTTGTTGTTTTTCTTTTAACAAGTCTGTACGCCGAGGACGAACGTTCCCAGCTCACTGTGGATGGCGCTCTGCGTCACGTCTTGCCTCTCGTTGGTTTTCCCTCGGCGTTTGACGTAATTGTTTACTGCTCTGGCAGCTGGTACACCCCGTCTGCCTCCATTTTGTCTTAATAATCTGCTTTTCCTGTTTGAGGAATCAGTGGAGAAAAGATTTCTCTGGGGTGGAGGATGCAAAGCAAAATCAAAAAAAACTTTAATGACGTATTTTCTAGCGAAGGCTGAAAACTTCTCCGACGGCACATTTGTTTCTTTTACTTTTTTTTTTGCTGGGGGAATTTTCAGGCTTTGCTGCTTGGCGAGACGCCGACCAGAAACGAGTGTGCAGGTCAGAGGTCCTGATACATCACTAACTACACGCGTGTTCCACATCACTTTCCAGGTGCTGATGCCAGGATCAGTACAGCAACCCTGTCACCTGCACTGAAGTCATCCAAGTCATTCTCTCTGTAGCTTTCCTCATCCTGCTCTCCTCTCCC